AATTGTGTGGGTGAACGAGTCATAAACCACAAATTTCACGGTGGATATGCCCCTATCGATTTTCCAGCCCTTGGGAGGGGAATTAAACGACCTCACATCAACGCGTTTTCAGATGACCGAGTATTGTCATGAAAATTAATGCAAAAATCGGGATTAAATGTTACAGAATTTCGACTGAAGTCTCGGATCATCAGCATCACAATGGCGATTGAGGGTGTCATTCGCACAGATATGATTAAAGATTAAATCTTTCGTTAAACCCTCCCCAATTTCCCCCTACCTTGCAATATTTATAAATATTTATAAATAAGTAAGTCTTTATTGAGAAATTCGAGAACAATAAAATGATAAATAAATGAAAAATCAAGGAATAAAATTGGAGAGAAAAATATTTTTCATTGAAGATTGAAGATTGAAGTGCATCTTTTAGACACATATTGTCTCGTTTTTTTTGAACGATTAAAAAAAGCGAAAAATATAAACATGAGGAGAATCAAGAAAACAACGCATTGAACTCTCGCAATGTGATGATGGAAAATGCAATGACCCTTTCCCGAAACAATTCAATCAGGCTCACGTCTTCCTCAACAATTTTCCCATTCAACGGAGGCCATTTTTCCATCAAAACAGCACGAAGCAGAGGAATAAAAAAAAATTGCACCGGTAGTTTATCGTTTGATGGAGAAAAAAAGAGAAAAACTAGCCTGGGGAAAATCGGATCGAAGTAACCCGAACTGTGCGGGTGGTGTTTCCCGGGGGTTTGTGTGGCTGGTGGGCACATCCTGCTGGTGCTGCTGTTTCCGGGGCTCAACCAGTGAGAGAGCTCCGGGTAAAGTCGTAAACTCGCACAATGCAAGGGCATAATATCCAACCCTCTGGTGCATCGTTTCCCGACAACTCCCACCTCTCGTCCTGTTTTTAGTAACCCACCCACCACCCCCAAACTCCCAGCAATCCAGGACATAAAACACGCGCGAAACCCTTAAAGCCCTCTCAAACCCACCCTCACATTTATGTATAACCCTATGGTATTCCACCCTGGGTTAGGTACTATGGGAGCCATCAACGCTTAAAAGTACCAACTGTATCCGCTCTTACGTCCACTTTTAAATGTTTGCTTCTACATTTATTATTTCTTTCCTTGCCGATTCCCTCGTCTTCTATTCCATCCTCACGAATGAAAATGCGTAGAGGGACGCATACTCAAACAATTTTTATTCTCAATTTTTAACAATTTTTTGGACTTAAGGGTGAACCCTCCCCTTTCAGCGGAAATTCAGTTTTTTTTTAGTTTTTTGACAAGTTTTTCAACGGATTCACGTGAAAAAATTTATCTGTAGAATTTTATTGATTCATCTGTTATCTTTATCATTTTACTCATTTATCACTGAATAATTAATGAATTTAGCAAAATTATGCGAAAGTTTAAATTTGTTGAATTTTTCTTGAACTTCACCACAAATTAAGGAAAGGAATAAAAAATGAAAAAAAAGGAGATATCGGCGATAACTCTGGGAAAATAATTTCGCACTATTTTTGCACTAGGACGAGCGACTTTTCCTGAAACTAAAAAGTATCATTTTTTCCTCTGCGGACTAAGTGATTAGACGAGCTATATTTTCATCTCCACACGTGAAATTTCTTTGTTGTCCAAGTGTTCACTTTGGAAACTCCTCGTTTTCCAGCTCGCCTGATATCGAGGAGCACTCTATTTCGATTGAAAGTACCTCGATTATTTTCTTATTTTCCGTGAGTACGTGAAATCCAGACACTGAGAACAAGAAACAAAAATATTCTTTTTCCGGTCCTCTTTGTTGGGATTTCTCTTCACGATGAGGCATCTGAGAGTGTTGAGCACCAGCCAGAGGACATTCTATTAGGTCAGTGATGATGCGCCACTTTTTCCTCATTTATTTTTACATTTCACGGTTTTTTTTCGGTTTTTTATAGGCCTGACATTGAGATTGAAAAAATTCATTGCTGTTTTATCGAGGTGTTAACGAGTCTACAGACACCTTCGACACTCAGAAAAAAAAATTATTTCTACCGATTGATTTTATCAGAACGAAAAAAAAAGCGTTTAAAATATCAATTTAATTCAGATTTTTGCCATTTAGAGGTCATTATTTTATTTACGGTGAAAAAATCATTTTTTTTCTCCCGCAGAAATAAATTGATCATTTCAATTTGAATCGAAAATAGTTGTCAATTAAAATTAAATCAAAATAAATCTCATAAAAAGTGTGCATAACATATTGAACACCTCTTAAAGCCTCGCCTCCCTATTAATTTTCTAGTAAACAATAAATTACGCGTCAGCATAATAAATAACAATCCCCGCGACATTAACATTAATTTTATCATCTGTTTATCCATCGACTCCAAATCACCAGGTAATACTGTTAGTGTGGAGTTCCCGTGCGATAAAAAAACTGCAGCTCAAGGTTGAATATGCGATCGAATGATAAAAACCCAGTGCAAGTTAAAACTATGAAAAATTCTTATTACCATGTGTAAGAGACACTATAAACTGGTGCATTCCAGTCATGAGTTGATCACTAAAAATGGATGATCGATAGAATCTGATTTTTGTCCCTGGAGGTGATTATTCCGCAGATGTACGATAAATTGGAAAAATCTCAATGCAAATATTGTCAAATCCCCCGAAACTCCAATCATTCATATTCCCAACTTCCATGGAGCCACCCTGACAGATTGATACTTTCCAATGAGTCATGGAACAAAGAACAATGGCATCATGAATCCCAACGAAGAATGGAAGATTAGGATTCACCATCAATGGAAATTTTTCCCATAATCACTTCGTGGAAGGCTATATTCCATAACTGTTTCAATAAGTTAGTGCATCCCAGGTGGAGAAAAATAATAGAAATAAGCGTTAGCACCACGATGAGTCCCACTCAGAGGATGTGATATCGTCCACCCATGAATGGAAACGATAAACACTCGATGTGACTACTCCCATGCATACAAACGCACCGAGTATTTTCTGACGATTAGATATAAATGGCTTCCAGTTTCCAGTGGATGAATTAAAATACGATGGATCGTGGCAAATGTTGCATGATAATAGGGGAATAATGAGTGCAGTAGGCATCATTGAGCTCTCGGTCTTCGACCCACGTCTTCAATCGGATCCACTGGTGAAACTGAATAATTAATGAATATGATCCATTGTTCGATCCACCCACGTGAGAGTTTTATTGTCTGGGGATATGTACAACATTTGTTCAATGCGTGAGAGAGTTCTGGGTATTGTAATTGAATTGAGAGGGATTTTAACAGTTGAGTGGATAAATTGATGTAAACAATCGACTGGAAAACTCAGGGAATTGATGAAGGGGTGGAGGTTGATGGGTTTTTTTTTTGCTGGGGGAATGATGGACTCGGGGATGAGCTTGGACTTTGACTTCTCATTGTTGATAGTTGGTGGTTAATTGGGGATTGGCAAGTACAAGTATTTTTAATGAATATGTTGAGAGTGGTGGATCAGCGGGGAGGACTGGCACGTGGGGAATCAGCTGATGGATCAATTGTCAGGTGAGTGAGTCTCCATCGGTGATGAGGCTATCATCGAGATCAAAGTATTTTCCTCAGGGCATTGCCCGTTCACCAGCACTTAATGAGTCATTTCTCGTCAGGAGACACGGGATAACGAATTTACCACTTGTGGAGAATATCGAGGAATTCAGTTATTGGTACTTAATTAATTCAACGCGTCAGTTCATACGGACTGAGATAAAAGAAAACCAGCGATTGCCAGATTTTTAGATTTTTAAAAATAAATTTCAGGTCACGTAGTACGCCATTACCAAATCTCTGTTGAGGAAACCGAGGGGAAAGAGAAAAAAAGGGTTTCACCGAATGAAACAATAGGGAATTCATTGAGAGCTCGAACAATTGCCGATGTTGAGTGGAAATTGAAGGAAATACCAGTGGAAGAACTGTAGGGACTGTCGACGTGAAATATAAAAGGAAGGGCTGTGGGCGGTGGGTGGTGGGTGGTAGGTCAGAGGGATGAGGAGAGAAAGAGGGGTGGAGATAGGGGGAGGGGGCCACCCACCACGATGAGATTACGCTAATC